TCCTCTATTGAAAGTTTACTTTTAACATTAAGATAATTATCTTCATTTGACATTGGGATCACTTGATACAATGTTTTTAATTCTTCTTGAACCGAATTCTTTCTCTCTTGATTGGGAATCGGCTCTATAAGCCTTTGCTCTTCTTCTACAGCGTAATTGACATTTGGGAGGATTGCTATTAAAATCGAGTTATGAACATAGTAAATCATATGATCCGTAACGTGATTTTAATAGCTTACCTCCCATTTTATGCCCTATTACATCAGAACTCTGAAATGTATAATCAACATATTATTAGAAGTCATCAAAAGAATAACAAAATCTTAATCAGTGCTTAGAATTTTGACGTGTCAAAATTCTATACATTTTCATTGTGATCAAGATTATATTTCTAAAAAAAATATTTTATACGGCACCCTTATCCGTTCAATTGTAGAAATTATATTACCATAGAAAATTGTTATTTCTCAATCAGCGTGGAAAATGTTGTGCTTTGTGGTATTGGTACTTGCTTACAGTTGTAAATAAGAATACCATAGCTTCCTGTCCGATCATATTTTTTTGGAGGATAAATATTATTCAATAATTTTCCAATATAATATCATAAATTTATATACAGAATATGAAATATACCTCATATAGATCTTTTAACCATACCATCTAGATTTTCGCATAAAATCAACTGTAGAGTTGATATCGGTTATATTAAAGCCTTTCAAGTTTAAGTTCCTTGGATTAACAAACCCAAAACATAATACGTTAGGTGTCTGATGTTTTCATGACCGTATAAAGCAATGACTTCGTCAATAGTCTACAAATTAATATAATTCATATCATAAATTGTTGAATATTTATATTTTTGCTTAAAAATGATTACGGTACCGTGTCAAGGCTAGCGAACAATTCTTGTTGCTACTTCGTAATTCGAGAGAACTGTCGAGTGAGTTAGAAGCTATCACTGAAGTTTTGAGAAGTTGCTTATATTCAAATTCATCTTCTTCCTTGAGTAACTCGACGTTATCGTCAATTTGTGGTTGAAGAAAGTTCAAGTAGAAAGGTAAGGTTTGAATGATAAGCCTTAAG